AGATTATGCTGGTCCTTATTTGTTTAAATTACAAGGTGGAAGAGGTGTTAGGTCTTCAAAGTGCTATGTTGCTATATTTGTATGTTTTTCCACAAAGGCTGTCCACTTTGAGTTGGTCAGTGACCTGTCTACACCAAGATTTATTGCTGCACTGAAGAGATTTATTGCACATCATGGAAAACCAGTTAAAATTATGAGTGACTGTGCCTCCAACTTCAAAAAGGCCAGTAAAGAACTAAAGGAAGTTTATAAAAAATGTGTCACTTATAGACAAGAGTAGTGAATTGGCTCATTTCACCACCGGTGAGGACATAACGTGGATTTTTAATCCACCAGCTGCACCTCATTTTGGAGGAATTTGGGAATTTGCCGTAAAATCTAAGAAGTTCCATTTAAGGAGAGTTATAGGATCTACATTGTTAACATACAGTTTGTAATGTTGTTAACACAGGTAGAAGCATGCTTAAACTCATGCCCATTTGTCAAATGTCAAGTGATCCCAATGATTTGCAGGTAGGGTTTCTCATTTCCTGGTCTTTTGCTTGTCCCGGGATTCTGGGATAAAAGTGAACTGATTCCCAGGATAGAATTAATTATTTTTAAGATATACAAAATACCTTGAAATCAAATGATATAATTATTTTTCATTTTTTAAAGTAATTTAATACGTTCTACAATCTCCAAAATCATATTAATAATGTTGTGTAAGATGTGTATTAAAAATTACCTAAATAACAACTCAAAGCCCGAATAGTATATAATAAATTACCAAATGATCGCCTAAATATCGGGCTATAATTAAATGATTGGAATAAAGTAATTTGGCATTAGAGGTAGGCGTTAGGCACCATCTCTTAAGAAAATTAATAATTAAAATTAAATAAATTTTAGAACCTTCTGGAATAAAAGAACTGGCCCGGGACGGGGCTTGAACCCTCAACCTCCGCTTGCCATGCGGTGCGCTTGCCAGTTACGCCACCTGAACCCCGAGCGAAGACTCGCTCGGGGATCCAGGTGGCATAACCTTTTAATTATTAATTTTCTTAAGAGATGGCGCCTAACGTCTACCTCTAATGCCAAATTACTTTATTCCAATCATTTAATTATAGCCCGATATTTAGGCGATCGTTTGGTAATTTATTAAAAATTACCTTTGAATTACGTAGAAATTTTCACAAATAGAAAAAATTTATTAAAGTTTGCTGGAAACTGCTTACAGCAGCAACAACAACAAAAATGCTTTGAATTGAGTTGAAAATTTAAAAAAACATGAACTTGGATCAAACTTCTAACTTAAAAGGTAATTTTCGTTTTTTTAAATAAAATGTAATGAAAAGTCCTGCTACCAAGAATGCTCTTTCCGATTCAATTCATGTGAGTGGAATTCTGTCTTCTCTTAAATGCATTAAACACGTGTTATGTTTTTTTTGCCTGTAGCCTGGAAGATTTCTAGTTTGTTTTCGAGATTGTAGTACTTCTTTTGCTCGCTAGTATTCTTGATTTGTCTACCTAATAGAAGCATCAAGTTTATAGCCCAATAATTCGGCAGTTCGTTTGTTTTTAATAATCAGATTTATGAAGAAAAACTTCATACTTGCAGACTTCATACTTGTTTGTATCCTTGCCCAGTTTGCACATCCTGGCATTTTGCAGTTATTGAAGCTACTGGGCATGGTTAAAAATTAAGACAGCATAAACACAATTATTCCAGATATTACAGGTTATGACAAGTAAAGAATTTTCAGTCTTGCCACAAATAAGCCAAATATTGATTTTATCGATCATTTGTGACATGTCATAACGAGCAAAAATTTAAAAAACTAGTATGTAGGCTTAAAATTAATAAATACAAATATATTCTGATCGTTTATGAGTTAATTATACTTTCTATTTGCAAAATTTCCTCAACCTTAACACAGAATAAGAAAAAAGTGAATTTTTAAGAAATTTATGGGATTTCCCAAGTTAAAAAAACAACTAGGATCCCATTTGAGAAACCCTACTTGCAGGTATTAACACCTGGTCATTTTCTAGTAGATGCACCCTTGATTGCTATCCCAGTAATAATTAAGTTATTAAGATTTGAATAATTGTCAGTTCACTCCAGCTACTAAAGGTGTAATTGATACCTTGCAGGTGTCAAGGCTGGGGGTAATGTATAAACTAATTATTATTATTATTATTTGGAAAACTTATTTTTATTGTGAGAGGATGTTTTTTCAGTGAGTCGTCCTCGACTATTATCATTATCATGCTTGTGTACCAGATTCAAGAGGAATCCAAACCATATTGCCTGAATGATTGAAGAGAGTTTAAATCAATAAAGATCAGTTTATTGTGCAATTATTGTGAGTTCGTATACAGTCCATTCATAGCATCAACAGTTCTAATGTTTTTGGCTACAGTGAAGATCTAGTGAAGTTCTTTCCGAAACTCCGTCTCAAGTTGGTTTCTGAGTGTGTCACAATTTGATATAGTGATCCAGGTTTGATGGAAAGCACACCTCCATATTCAAGTTATACAATATTTATAGTTTATTTACAAACTCTATATGTAGAGTGTACAAGTTTGAAAATATAGTATACACAGGATAACAAAGCATGGTGCCTCACAAACTAGATTGGCTTCCAGGAACTATTAAACTTTGGAGCAGCCTCAGTCAGCTTGTGGAGTTGGCTCAACTGTGTGGTCCGTCCAATCTCCGCACTTACTCATCCCTGAGATAGTTACCAGAGAAGAATGCTCTCTCTAAGCTCAGTGGGCTTCCCAAGTGCCTAAGACTACCATGTTACCAGTCTCTTGCCCTTCTCTCTTCCCTCTCCTGTTCGCCCCGCAATTTAAGGGTTTTTTGGATGGGGACTTCCAACCAATCACAACCCTTTCTTGACCGAACAGCTTACATTCAAGGTCTGCCATCATCCAACGAGAGTTAAGCTTACAGTAACAGCCATCACTTGTTTACGTTTTTTAGTAGTTTACCACATGGCAAATGGTCTATCGTCTGACCACACGTGGGTCCAATTGACAAAGTCAGCGCTTCCTTTGTTTTCTCTCTGTTTACAAGTCAACACGTTACAAGTGGTATATTACCCGACCGCACATGAGTCCAACTTTCAAGGTCGCGCTTCTTTTGTTCCCTCTCTGCTAAAAGGCCAATACTTTACAGTTACCATTTAGAGACCCTCATCAGGAAATAAAAGAAAGAAAAAACAAAAGAAACAAACAGTTCTATCATTCAACGGAGAATGCCATTATATTTAAAATAGTAACTCTAAATGATTTGATATTTTAAACATAGCAATTCCAAATGATTTGTTATATTTAAAATTTAGTTTTTAGAATTTTATGAACAAATTTTAGAAACTTCAATGGCTTGCATTGTGTTAAAGAAGCATAAATGTGTGTTATGCTGATAACATATTTTGCTTAGAATTTTTTGTCTTATAAAATTTCAACATTATCTTATGACTTATTATGATAGAAAATTGAGAGTTTATCAATAGAGAAATATAATCTTATAAATATTAATTATTTTTGAAAACTGAATGAATCAGAGGTGCACTCAAGATTTACTTTTGGGGGAGACGTATTGAATGGATAAAAAAGTTTTTAATGCAAATTCAATAAAATATCCACCTTATGTGACTGTTAATTCATAAGTGGTATACAAATAGAAGACACCACAGAACATAAATAAAATAAACTAGTAATGAGTTGCTCAATTTCCCTGGGAACATTAAAATTTTGTGCTGCCATCTGTTGTTATATTTTATTTTTAAAATTTTATTAAAATTTTAACTATTATAAAATGGCAAAAAGTTTAATTTTGATGGTATGGATGAGTTTTATAAAAAATTGTAAATGCCAATAATGAGTAAAATCATCATTAAGTTCGACTCTAATGGAGGTACACATGATCTCCATTCTCTCTCCACCTTCTCGATCTTTAAGCACCAAAATTTAATAGCATCAATCCCTTTAATAAATAAACCTCCCTGCAAAATTTCAGAAATTTTTGACAAAAAGCACAGGAGTTTATTAAGCTTTAAACAGGGTAAACAAAGCCATGCCCCCTACACTAACATCCATACATACAAAAATTACCTTGGAATTTTTTTCTCAACATTTCAAGGTGTCCTAAGTCCAAAAATTAAAAATCTCAGGGTCATTTTTTGCCAGATTGCCATACTTTTCCTCTGTATCAGGAAAGTAAGAGAAAGTAAAAAATAATTTTAATTGGGAAGAGATTTTTGGAAAATTTTCTACTGTTTGTTTTCCTTTCGGGAGGCCAGGGGCCATATTCTGGTCACTGTCTCCGGTTTCTCGTCTCTCGCAAGCCGGTCACTGATTGGCTAATCATTTGGATTAGCCAATCAGCAACTGGCTTGCGAGAGACCAGAGTGACCAGAATACGGCCCCAGGTCTCCTTGGGCTCTCTGGGTGTGCCACTGGTATCAATTTATTTAACAAATAAAACTGTGTTTATGCTGATTAAAGAATGTTTTTATTTATTTTTAATGCAAAAAAATGTGTATACATATAATAGTAACACAAGATAAAATAACATAAGCATGTATAGTTTCCATTCTATATATTGTATATGTTATGCTTGTTATTTATTAATTATAATGAATAACAAGCATAACATATACAATATATAGTTTCCATTCTATATATTGTATATGTTATGCTTGTTATTTATTAATTATAATGAATAACAAGCATAACATATACAATATATAGTTTCCATTCTATATATTGTATATGTTATGCTTGTTATTTATTAATTATAATGAATCTCTTCAAGTTATTGGTTAAGTTTTATCAGTTCTGTAGTTTTAATACATTATTTAAAAGATAATGCATTCTACATTGAGAAATTTTTGAAATTATAATTAGTTTTTATTTAATGTAATAAATATAAATTTATATTGTCATTTTAAACTTTTTAAATTGCATTTGATTTTATCATTATACTGATATTAATTTGTATTTTTCAGACAACAAATAAAGTTATGGATGTTCCAGTACCCCATACTTCAGTTGAAAATATGATTATTAAAATTAAACAAAGCCATCCTACAATTGTAGTATTTCTGGATTTAGATTTATATACCAAGTAAGTTGTAAATACATAAACTTAAGAATATTCAAATATTTATTTCTTAATTTGTTACATATTTCTAAAATTAAATTTAACTAAATTTTTTTAGTTAAAAATTTGTTTCTTTTGCATATTCATAATGTAAGTTATTTAAATTCTTGTGTGGATATCCTTGTATCTTTTAAGATATGTATATCAAACAAAATCTTTCCTTAACATGTAAAATTTTTTATGAAAGTTTTGAAATTTTAAAACATTAAGAACAAAGAACATGAGATGGTTGTAATTTTGTTAATATATATCTATATTTATTTGTTAAAATAAAAATATCAATGTTTGGAATCAGTTTCTATAATATTTGAAAGATGATAGTATGATTGCCAAATAAATTTAATGTAACAGCATAAAATTTACTATTTAACATTAAGAAAATCAAAAAATAAACAAGTAAACAAGACATCATACATATATCCCTTCATTAACATGATTAATTAATCCCTCAATGCTACTGCATATATAAAAATCATGTTAATCAAATACAGTGGTACCTCAGTACTCAACCAAACAATCACCACCCACTAGAATAAATTTTTGGTTAATAACGAATATTTTTATTTTGTCATCTGTAAAAAAGTTTTCTATGATAAGAACGATTGACTAATTTAAAAAATAAAATGAAACTTTAGAACTATCAACCTTTGTCAGAAAAAAATTATACTTGATCCAATTTATTTTTTTTTTTTCACTTAATGCATTGCAAAACACAATCATCATGTCAGTGACACACTAAGATTTGTTGCAAGTTCATAAGTTATTGATCAATTTTTAACAAATTTTTCCTGAAATTTCTCTTGTCAACAGTTTTTATGTCCCTTGTTTTGTAACTTTTAGTTCAGAATTTTCCGAATGAAACTTTCAAAACCGAATTTGAGGTCTGGCATTTTGGAGCATCTTTCCCATATGTTATGAGTATTTTTTACAGTTTGTATGGTGTTATATCCTTCACAAAACTTAAAAAGCATACATAATATGTCTGATAAGCATTTTATCTGCAAATATTTTGATTTTGATACAAACAAAATGTGAAGTTTTAAATTAGCACTTTTAAACAAAGAATACAATATCAGAGTAGCAGTAATATGTTAAGTTTTACATCTATCATAATTAAACTACGTATCTATATTGGAAATCACCCTCAGCATAAAAATAGCAAATTCACCAACACCTTATTTTTTGAGAAAAACATATCTATACTAAATAAAGATACTGTTAAAACTGCATTAATTAAAACTTCTAAAAATAAAGGGATTGTCACAATTAATTTCATGCATTAAGCAAGGGATACCTTTATTATGTTTATATTATGTTTGATATATAAATAAAATCTGAAATATTCTTTTTCTGGTTATTTTCATTGAAGTTAAAGAGGGAATATAACATTCTCATTTCTATGAAAATGAAATAGAGAAGTGTTCTGTTTGATCCATATGACATGCATTAATTACATTTGAGATTAAATATAAACAATGTTTTTTTAAAAGTTTATCAGTGCTTTTCAGTCTCCATGATCTTGAATTTTTATCACCTCCCCTATATATGTTAAGATTGGATCAAACTTTTAAGGACAGAAAAAGTGCATACCACTTTTCTTCAATTACTTTTTCCTCCTCCTATTATTTCAAAACTTGAAAAAGTGAATATTTTCTCTTAAAACTTGTTTATAAATTTTTGGAAAATCTGCTAAAATGGACTGAAAAATTGAAGGAAGTTTAATTAAGAAATACATTAGTTAATTAATTTAATCAATTAAATAACCAATTTGATTAATTTATACATTTAAGAAAGATTAATAAGAAATTGCAATTAAGATAATTATTTACCCAATTTTTAGTGTGTCAGTGAGTGACAGCAGTCATAGTGGTAGTGAGTGATATAAATAGAGAGACTTAATCTTTATCGCTGATTATATGTAAAGATGAGTAATGAGGAATAAATGTTTGCAAAGAAAAAATTGAGGAGCACTTGCTACCACCAAACAGATCAAAAACAAACAATTGGAAATTCCATCAAACTATAAAATTTGTTGGAATTGCCAAGTTATTAGCATGTTTATTTGCTTATTACTTTAATTGTTAAGTGTTAAATTAATTTAATTGTTTTAATTGTTTATTACTTTTATGTGCTGTATAAATATATATTGCTGTAAAATAGCAAATGCAAACGGCAAGTTTGTTTACAATTTACGTTGACATTAAATGATGTCTTTGTGTTAATATGAATGTAGATTAATGTATTTGAAAAAAGTGAATGTATTGACATAATGAAGACAAATTAATTAGATTTCAAAAAAGAATTTGCTTATTAATACTTTTTATTGGATCGTATTTTTAATCTCCAAAATTTAATTTCACATCATAGAATTGATTTTACTGTTTATAAGAAATTTTAACAATAATAATTATAAATTACTACAAACAAACTTGTATTTTCTTATCAGCTTTATAATGAAATGATGTTGAACAAAATAACAGTAAGTAAGGACTTGCTGCATAATTTCAAATTATTTTTCTAAAAGGACTATAATTCATCACACAAAAAACCTCTGTAACTCCAGTGATACATGTTTACAAAACAGTGAAAGTTTTCGACCCCATCTGGGTCTTCGTCAGGCTACGGTTATGAGGAATTCAAATGCGTGTGGAATGGAACAATAAAACGAAACGAATGCTAAGAGGTTCATTTGTTATCTGAAAGGACTAATTGGAATTTAGTTTTCTCAAATTTAATTTTTAAAACACAAATGTGAATTGAGATAGATGCTAAAAACTCTGTTGAAATATTAAATTTAAATAACCAATTAATAATAATTCTTGTATGTTTGTTTGACATTACATATTACCTATTTCAGTATGTAAATAAAGCTTGTTTTTAAATTTAATTTAATCTCTATGACTTTTCTTTCTTTATATTATAAATGGAAATTATAATGAGGCAGTTAGGAAAATATAAAAAGCTTTTGCAGACCACTTAACATACTATATCTTATTTTCTGGGATATGTTGTTTTTCCTAATATATAATAAAATATTTCCTAAATAAAATAAAATCTTTCTGAGAGGCAATTTGCATCATTAGAATAACTTGCAAGTTGATTGGCAATTAGTATACTTTTCACATAGAGAGTTCAACTCTTGTTAGTAAACTCTCAAGAGAGGCAAGTTGCAGGTGAAGAGGATAGTTGTAAACTATTGAAAGTACATGCAATTTTGAATAAAACATTGGTTTTAATCCTGTAAGACAGAATATGTTACATCATAACATTACACTAGGTTGCAGATTGGTTTTTCAAGAGATGATTTTCAGTTGCCAGAAACAAAATCCGAACATGAAATTATTAGTTCCATAATTATATTTTTAAATGATTGTTTTATCCACTTAAAAATCAATGCCAAACAAGTGACAGATTATTATATTATTGTCTACTTAGGACTTATTATACTGGTGTTCCGTTTCTGCAAAAAGGAGGAAGAAACAATCATTATTGTTCACTTGGTATTGCACCTAATTATAATAAGTCCTAAGTAAACAATAATATAATAAAAATAGTATAAAATAAGGACATAAAGGCAATTGAATTAAGTGACAAATTACTCTAAATCAGTGTTTTTCAACCTGTGGGTTGCGATCCCCAGGGGGGTCATGGGTAAAAAAAAGACAAGTGTTTGTAGGTCCTACTCTACATTAAAAAAACTACAATTTCAGTGAGAAGGCTGTACCTATTTATTTTACAGTATAATTGGTTTTGGATTGATATTTAGGTCTCAACAGAAAGAAAATTAAATATGTAGTTTTTTAAAATCACTGATATAGTTTTAATTAATTAATTAATATGGCTCTGGGGGGTTGCCAGAATTTTTTAACTTGTAAAGAGGTCATGTATTCGAGAAGGTTGAAAAACACTGCTCTAAATCAAATAATTTTGGCCTATTTATAGATCATTGTTAGGATTAGACACATTTGAAATCAGAAAATGTTCCAACATAATAATCAAACTACAGAATTTGAAATAATTAATACAAATCTACAAATAAACCAAAACAACATAAAATAAAATAAAATATAACATAGGTAAAAACACTATAAATATCAAATTAATAACCACAATTAAGACTACATTCTAGATACATGGCACTTTAAGTCAATGAATATTTCTAGGAGTTATATGCAATTTAACTTATGTTGTGGGTAGTGACTATATTTCCTTTACTTCTTGGTTCCATAATGTTAATAGCAATTTTACTTACTGAAGGGAGTATTTTTAGACATCTTTAAGAATTTAAAAATGCTCAAGAAATTTCAAATAATTATTTTATTATTTTTGACTTTCAAAAGTTTTATAACAATATCTACAGTGACTCACAAAAGTATTTGTATAGATAAAACTATTTTATAAGCATTTATACCTCTACAAAAACATCAAGAATATTTAAAAATACATATACAGGTATCCATCGATTAACACAATTAATCTCTTGTCATAACTGCATATACCAAAATCATGTTAATCGAGTACGGTATCCATGTTAAGTAAAGACAGCTGGTAAAGCTGCATTAATTAAAACTTTTGCCGCATATATAATGGGATTACTGCAATTTATTTCGCATATTAATCAAATCCCACGTTAAACAAGGAATATTTGTTTTTATAAGAAAAGTTTGTTATTTGTTATACACTTTCATTATCAGAAATTACATAAAAATAACAGTATTTTTTATTAAATAAAAAATTATTGGAATTTGTACCTAACTTGAAGCAGGGCAAGGGAGGAAGAGTGATTTCACAGTGTGGTAATGGCAGAGCCGTAACTAGGCAGGTGCAACAGGTGCATTCGCACAGGGCCCACTTGGAAGGGGGCCCAAACTGCTGTTCACAAGAAATTATAGTTTTAAATCTTAAATTTTTCCTCCTTTTTACTGGCGATTACATTTTGCCTTATTTTTAGACCCTAGATGTCT